TTCCAGCCCCCTCACCTCCTCCACCTCGTCGATCCGGATGGAAAAGTTCTTCACAAACTCGTAGATGTCATCCATGAGCCCCAGGGGCAGGTCCTGGCACAGGTGGGACAGGTGAGGTTGGGGGGACACACAGGACAGGACAGGTGGGAGCCCAGGTGGCACCAGGGATGTGGGCAGGGGGTGCCAGGGAGAGGGAATCCCATGGGAATGGGGTGCCAGGGATGGGGATCCCAGGGAATGGGAATTTCAGGGATGGGGATCCCAAGGATAGGGATCCTGTGGGAATGAGGATCCCAGGGAATGGGGTCCCAATGGCAATGGGGATTCCAGGGAATGGGGCTCCTGTGGCAATGGGGATCCCAGAGAATGAGAATCCCAGGAAATGGGGTCCCCAGGGAATGGGGCTCCCATGGCAATGGGAATCCCAGGAAATGGGGATCCCAGGAATGGGGTTTCCATGGGAATTGGAGTGCTGGGGGAATGGGGTCCCCAGGAAATGGGGTTCCTGTGGGAATGGGAATCCCAGGGAAGGGGGATCTCAGGAAATGGAGTTCCCGTGGCAATGGGAATCCCAGGAAATGGGGATCCTGTGGGAATGGGAATCCCAGGAATTGGGGGCCCCCAGGGAAGGGGGATCCCCAGGAGCACCCCCTCACCTGGCACACCCCCTCACCTGGCTCACCCCCTCACCTGGTGCACCCCCCCGGGCCGCACGTAGGCCGCGTGCATCCGCGCCCCAGACACGCGCTCGTAGAACTCGAACATCTGCGGGGGCAACGGAGGGCTCAGCACCCCAAAAACCCCCCAAAAACCACCCCAAAAACCACCCCAAAGACCCCCCCAAACCCCCATCCCACCTTCTCCCTCTCCTCGAACATCCAGAAGAAAGGAGTCATGGCCCCGATGTCCAGCGCGTGCGTGGTCACGGCCATGATGTGGTTGAGCAGGCGAGTGATCTCGGCAAACAGCACTGGGGGGCACGGGGGGCAAAGGGTGACCCCAAAATCCTGGGGGCGACCCCAAAGATCCTGGGGGTGACCCCAAAGATGCTGGGGGTGACCCCAAAGATGCTGGGGGTGACCCCAAAATCCTGGGGGCGACCCCCAAGATGCTGGGGGTGACCCCAAAGATGCTGGGAGTGACCCTAAAGATCCTGGGGGTGACCCTAAAGATCCTGGGGGCGACCCCAAAGATCCTGGGGGTGACCCTAAAGATCCTGGGGGTGACCCCAAAGATCCTGGGGGCGACCCCAAAGATCCTGGGGGTGACCCTAAAGATCCTGGGGGCGACCCCAAAGATGCTGGGGATGATCCCAAAATCCTGGGAGTGACCCTAAAGATCCTGGGGGTGACCCTAAAGATCCTGGGGGTGATCCCAAAATCCTGGGGGCGACCCCAAAGATCCTGGGGGTGACCC